ATGCGTTTCTTCCTTGCAGACTGGGCATGGTGGCCTCCTGTAATTTGATGCTTCTTGTCTACCTTGTGGGGAACTATTCGTTTGAGCACTGGTAATAAAGGCTTTAGCTCGTTTTGGTGTTCTATCTTCTGTCTTGAAGTTCAATAGGAAGGGTGAGACAATGGGGTGGCAGGCTATCCGGACCTCCTTGTTTAGAAATGTGCTGAAACTTTTAAGAGACGGATAATTACCAGATTTATCTAATTCTTCAACCACCATTCGACTCCACTTCCTCACGATCCACTCTGGCAATTTCTTCAGAAGTTTATGATTTTCTTCACAGTCATCCAAGATGGCTAGTCCCTTGACATGTGGAATTGCTTCCGCACATCCTTGCAGAAAGTCTGCAAACTCTCTTAAAGCCAGAGGGTCGGTCGAACTGATTTTAGGCCACCTAGAGAGCTTATCCCTGAACGCCTTTTGTATTATGAATGGGTTGCCATACCTCTCTTGTAGGACCTTCCAGGCACCTGTATACGCATCTTCTGAGTTTCTATAAAAGAAACCTTCCACTGCTTTGCGTGCATCTCCAGTGAGATAAGTTTTCAAATAGAACATTTTCTCATTTGCTGAGAGGGGTTTTCGGTCAATGAGAGTTGTGAAAGACATTTTCCAGTCAACATATTTCATGGGATCACCGTCAAATGTTGTTGGCTCAGGCACAGGCAGACGATTTAAGCTCAATGAACTGGTTATTGCTTGGACTAAGCCGGCTGTGTCCTCATTTATAGTCGTTCCTGTAAATGTTTGTTGGGGTAGAAGCGATGCAGTGTTTGTGACAATGTGAGCGGCAGGTTCCGGTTCCAGGTAGGCAGTGTCTGTTACTAGATTTCTCTCCTCTTCATAGTCGCTTCCAGAGCTGTCGTACGCTCTCACTCGAGCAGCTGCTACCTGGACCTCCTTTTCAGCCTTTAACTGTGTCAGCTTCATTTGTTCTTCTTCCAGTTTTAGCCGCCGCTCTTCCCTTTTGCGCTCCAAATCAGCCACCATTTTCTGTTCTTCGAGTTTCCATTCATTTTCAAGTTTGTTAATATGTGCCTGGCGGGCATGAATGTCCTTCATTGCCTTTGCTTGCTCTCTTTTGGCCGAAAGCTCTGCTTCTGCGTCCTGTCGTTTGCTGGAACCGCTGGAGCTTGCACTGGAAGAGTCAGTATGCTGAGAAACCACAGTGTCAGTTTTTGTACCGCCAAACACAGATCCATATTCTTTTTTATTTAAGACAATCCTCACTCTTTCTTTCTCTACTTGCTCATTGTAGTCTACATCCATAGTGTCTCTTCTTTTACTCACCAGAGCAAGCATTTCATCAGTGAGAATGGCACAGGTATCCATTTTCCCCACTATCTCTGGAGTATTGGTTTGGTTACGCAGGATGGGCTCGTATTGGCCTTGCAGCCCATCACGTTTTGTTTTAATATTTTGTTCAATGTTGTCAAGATCGTCCATAGAGCAAAAACATTTCATTGTTGCCCTGCCTTCTTTTGCCGTCTGTTTCCAAGCGTCATAAGCCCTGTAAAAAGCCTTTTTATGTTTAATGGCGTTTTGTTCATTTACCTCTTGCATTTTCTCAGTCACGGTTCTCTGACGAGAGCTTGCTCTGCCAGATGGTAGGTCTGAGGGTTTACTGGTTTCTGCTGTGTGGAGTGACATTTTTGATTTGGATGTCTTAATAGATGGTAATTTGAATGTTATGTAAGACGTTTGGGATTTATTTCTGCAAGCAGTAGTTATAATAACCTTTTTTAGTACTACCCCTTTAACCCACGTCTACAACCTCATTTAAACACTCAAATTATTTAATTTGTGCAAATACAAATATTAAAATTCTGGACAATTCCGTACTTTAAGTTAGGTCATTTCCACACTTTAGAACCTCTATTTAATGATAGCTTTAAAATGGCCGTTTATAATCCCCTGAACACATCTTCACAATTATCTGCAACACTCAGAACCTTTATCTAAGGATAGTCAAATACTCTAACAATTGCGTCTTTCAGCGTTCAGCACAGTTTATATTACTGCACTTAAGCCACTTTCATGTGCGTACATGAACACAGTCTTATTAATAATTTCTTATAAAATGTCTTTGATTGCACCCGTTACACCCTCGTGTGTTATCTTCCCTCTTGCCTGACTATGGTCCGTTTTAGTTGATTTCTTCGATGCGGACCTCGGCCGAGGCTGCGAGTCTCATTTGGATGCAGCGTAGTTTCTCACTCTCTGGCGTCGCGGTGAGTTTTCACTGTAACTGCCCTCGGTGGGTTTAAGCAAGATGGAGAGAGTCTCGACTGATGTCTTTACGGTTTTCTTTATTTTTCTTTTCATATCCGTAATGCACCGTGAAAACTATAAAAATATACAAATTGATACAAACATTAGTACCGTCATAAACATTTCATTAGCTACATCAAACATTCTCACGCAGTAAACCTAATTAAATACACCACTAAACAACCTTTTCTTCTTACCAAGATCTACATACACAACACCATAACCTTTAAAACACACTCGAATTAACATAGCAAAGCAAAATGGCTCTTTGTCAATACATAGTTTAAATAACTTACAACAATAAACATAAACACTTCACTCCCGCAAGCACCCATATAAACAACTACACATACCTCGTTCCGCTTCCCAAGGGCGTTAAACCAATCCTAGCAATTTCCTTTGTTCCTTATCCCAAGTTTGGCGTCCTTACTGTGTGCTCCCGTCCGTTCGCACTTAGTTTGTTTATGAGTTTGCGATAGCCGTAACTCGTGAGCATGGAGTTTATCTAGGGTTAGGTTTAGCCTAGTGGCAGAAACTACACTGCCCCCTAGTGGACGTCACTGGTGCCTGCGTCGAGTGAGGTGCTCGTATCTACACCACATTCCCAATAAACGTCTTTTATAAATACACAAGTATACATTTACACATTAAATCAATACCTTTAAATGACTCCAAGCAGACAGTTACAGTATTTGTGCTTTAAAAGGCAGCTCTGCACACCAAGTAAGTCACTGTTCCCAGCAGAACCATTGGAAGCTGCTTCAGAAACACTTCTCCAGCCTCTCTCTCCTCGAGTCATCATTCAAAATGAGCAAGATCATTGTTTATAGCCAAGAGGGCTTCGGGGGCAGATCCGCTGAATTCAACCAAGATGTCGGCGACTTAGAAGAGAAGGGCTTTAACAACGCCATCGCCTCCATAAAAGTCATTGGCAAACCATGGGTGGGGTATTGTGACAAGGATTTTGCTGGAAAGCAGCGGGTGTTTGAAGAAGGAGAGTACGCTACCCTTGAAGACAAAGGACAGTTTTCCTCCTTCAAGATGGTCACACATGACCTGACCAACCCTGAAATCCAGCTGTTTGAGCACAAGAACTATCAAGGAAGAAGCGTGACCCTACGCAACGAAATCAATCTTACCGAAATTGATTTCAATGACAAAGCTTCATCCCACAAAGTGAGACGTGGAGTCTGGGTTCTGTACGAGCACATCAATCGTCGGGGTTCCCAGCTTGTTTCTTACCCTGGCGATCAAGTTTCCAACTATGTGCCGCTCTCCTTCAACGATGTGGCCAGCTCTGTGCGTCCCTTGCTGCCTAGGCAATAGACGCCATCATTCAAAGTCCGCTTTCTGCAGCTGAATATGAACTGGATCCCTTCTGGAAAGAGCGAGGCAGGTGGTGGGGAAAGACTGATCTGGACCAGAAACGATGACTGTGACTCCAATAAGTCTGAAGAAACTTCATGCAATTAGACTCAACCTTATCATTTGAGGATATCTGTGTAAAGACATATTATGTACATGTGTTAATTAGGAAATGTTATATAACAAGGATGAATTTTATTTGAAAAGGTTTTAAGCTGCTGGTTGTTTGGCGTTTCATCAGAAGCGATCAGTATCGGTAAACAAATGCAATAAAATACCGTTTTTGAATTGTTACGGATCTACTACAGATCTATTGTATTTGAATGTATTTCCCCTGTTTGATGAGTGAAATATTCAAAGGGATTTGAGATTTATATTATGCTGAGAAAGAGACAACGAATGCTGTTTTAATCTGTCAACTCAGAAAATAAAGACTCTGAAATATCGTAATACTCCTTGTTTCAATTCTCTTTTTTCTACATGTACATTTTTCAAATAGCTTTTATCCAAAGTTACTTACAGTTGATGCATTCAAATGAAGGAATTAATCTAAAGAGGCAATAAAAAGGAGAATTTTCTATTAATACAAATAGTTTCAGTCACCGTTAAAGCTAGAATAGGAAGGAATAGTGAGAATCCCTGCATTTAAGGGAGAGGTGGGATTTTTTATTTTTTTTTATAATGGGAGAGGTGGGATGTCTGGAATAGACCAGTAAGAACTGACAGTGTTGAAACCGAGACACATTGATAACATGCTTGTATATTTTCCGAAAACAACATGTATACATGAATATATATAATAACTGTCTATATATATAATAACCAAATGTCTCTGCGTTGTGTTAATGTGATGGATGAATGAAGAGGACACCAAGATCGTGGTTGTGTCATCACAGCAGTGAAGCTTTCATTTTTATAAGGCTCTTTATCTGCACCATGCAGCAAACAGCAACATCTCCACAAACATCACAAAACTGCAACAGCTTTCCACAAGAAAATATATAAGGTTAGTTACCAATCAACATCAAAATAACAATGCATACAAAATTATAAAACAAAATAATATAGTTGTGGCTGCAGTTAAATTAACCTTAAATCAGAGGGTTCTCAAACTTACTAAAACACTGGAAAAATAACTTGCAGCATAGGACAAATAAAGTTAAATGTCAGATGAATCCAAAATACAAACAATAAAACCCCAAAATACCCAGATAAACCTCAAACTCAGTTTTTTTTTATTCAGCACTAGAATTTAACTTTGAACGCCAATGATATATGTTCTATAATTTGTATGTGGATTTCTATGGACTTCTATGATTTTAGCGTTTGAACTGGACTTTTTTTTTGGTGTGGTGATGTGACGTCATAATGCTGCGTCGCGCTCCTGCATCTGTTGTGATTCTGCTGAAGAAAGGTTTGTGTTTTAGGCACGTAAAGAGTTTAAATGGTTAAATTACTTTTTTTGTTTTTTTACAAGCGATGTAAAAAATAATAATAATGTATTATTGAATGTAACATTGTAATGCTTTATCTATCATTAATGAACGTTATTTTTTATGAGTAAAGCGCATCCACACACGAGTAACAGAACGTTACTGTTTAAGTTATCTCATTTCATCCCTATATCGTGAATCAGTTTATTATAAACACTAGTTGATCACTGATAAGTAGATTTGAGAGAAACGAAGATTTTTTAAACTCCGAGTCAATTACTAAACCAAATGTTTTGCAAAATGATTCATTTCAAAGTGCTCGAATCACCTCCAAACACTGACGACTCCTGCTGGTCAAACCGTGTAAATACAACGAGATCAACAAACACAAACAGGTGTAATGACAACTTTTGCTTAGGTGTAATCTATTAAATGTAATTTAAAAGTTATTAAATAACAGTATAAATCAGAACTAAATATTATGTGTCTGTTATAATGCTATTTTTTTGGTCTAATCAGGTGATTTTAAGTCCATTAACTCTGACTCTCTTACCAGTGAACTGAACTACTGAACTAGATTGAGACACTCTCAGAGATTAAGTTTTGAGTGCTTTTACTTTATTTATTCTCATCTTAAAGATGGCGTTTATTAAAGGGGAGAGTGAAGACGTGAAGATTGAAGAAACGTTCAGAGTGAAACATGAAGAGACTGAGGAACACACAGGTTGGTTTCATTCTCAAAGCTGATCTCAGTCATTTGATCCTTATTAATATGTCAACCTCTAAAGAAATGAATAGCCACGTTTTCATTGTCGGGCCAGTCTTTAAACGGTAAAAGCCTCGGACGCAGCACCGAGCCCAAAACCACACTGTGTTTCCACCGTCGGGCCTGCAGAGCGTCACTAAAACACACCTCTCTGAAACAACGTCACACAAACCCATCATTTCACCAACAAATGGAAGTTTTATCAGAAAACGAATCACAAAGAAATCACTGGAAACTAGCGAGATCGCAAAACAAACATGATAAAAGCGGCCGTTTGTTGGCATTTTTGTTGTTTACCTAAACATTTAAACCCAAGCATCGATGTTTTTCCACAGTTTTACACTAATAAGTGATACATTGACCATAATACATTTATTTATGTCAAGATTGTCATTAGTCAGAGAAGCAGAGGAAGCTCTTGAAAAACCGGAGTTGCTTTATTTTATGACACATGCGGAGCTACATATGGATATCAGACAGTCCGGTATAAAGAGACGAGATGTACTGACAAATAAAATAAATACACAATTGTGATCGACTATATGATTTGTCTGATTTCTTCAAGCGGTCATATTTACCACTTTTACTATGGTAATGGTTAGCGCGCGAGTCTTTTGCATCGCATATATATAAATATTTCTGCTAGAAATATTTATATGCACCGATATGAACATTTTGGCCGATACCGATAATTCTTTATATTTGAAAGCTGATAACTGATATATTGGCCAAAAAATCTAAATCCGAATTTTTTTTATAGTTTCAGAGCGTGATTACAAAAACAAAAGGCTCACCATTAAAAGCCATGTCCCAAAACTTAAATAATAAACCGATCATATACAGTACAGTAGCCTAGTTTGAACCAGTGTAAGATTCTTCAACTTTTAAAATGATTTCTTCGCCTATGGCTGACTTTCTTTATAAAAAAAAAATTGGTAACACAAGTTCATTGCTCTGTAATTTAATGTTAGTTAATGCATTAACAAACGAAGCCTTATTGCCTAACAATAAAAAAAATACATTAAAAAAAAACAACTAAATAATGCAAACAATTCGTTGGACAACATTACTTAGGCTACATATTAATAATTTAAATGCATGTGCCACGGATAAATAAAATGTGACAAGAATACGAAAACAATAAAAATAGTTATTCATAATAATGCATCAAAGTTTTGGGGGGGAAAAATAAACATTTTTAATATTACAGAAAGGGTAAACATCTTTAATATTACCGTTTCAAATAACATTATTGCTGTTTAAGCATTGCGCGCTGAAGCTGAAGAGAATGAACATCCGTAAACTGTAACGCTTTGCTAGAGGTTTATTAACTCAACGGAACGAATCCTATATACGATAAATCAGATATTTATACTACATAGACTTAATGTTAAGACTTATTTCTGCACAAAATGACACAAATCCACAAGCGAACCTGACTGTGTTGGTCAGAACGTGTAACTCCTGTTCTGGATGCGTTTGTTCCCAAAACAACGTGCTGAAACCGGCACAAAAGGCTGCAAATCCACAAGCAAAATTGACTGTGTAACTCTGGACACGCTCTTTCCACAACAACCTGCTGAAACACGGGCAAACAAAGGATTCACAACACTCTTTTACAATCGTGTTCTCATTATAAAGTTATGTAACCTATATGACAGACTTGCGCTGCATTTACCTGTTTTTTTCCTTTTTAGAAGTAAATACTTATACACTCACCTAAAGGATTATTAGGAACACCATACTAATACTGTGTTTGACCCCCTTTCGCCTTCAGAACTGCCTTAATTCTACGTGGCATTGATTCAACAAGGTGCAGAAAGCATTCTTTAGAAATGTTGGCCCATATTGATAGGATAGCATCTTGCAGTTGATGGAGATTTGTGGGATGCACATCCAGGGCACGAAGCTCCCGTTCCACCACATCCCAAAGATGCTCTATTGGGTTGAGATCTGGTGACTGTGGGGGCCATTTTAGTTCAGTGAACTCATTGTCATGTTCAAGAAACCAATTTGAAATGATTCGAGCTTTGTGATATGGTGCATTATCCTGCTGGAAGTAGCCATCAGAGGATGGGTACATGGTGGCCATAAAGGGATGGACATGGTCAGAAACAATGCTCAGGTAGGCCGTGGCATTTAAACGACGCCCAATTGGCACTAAGGGGCCTAAAGTGTGCCAAGAAAACATCCCCCACACCATTACACCACCACCACCAGCCTGCACAGTGGTAACAAGTAGGGATGTCAATTTTCACAAATTCCCATGATCGATTGTCGTTTAAATTAACGATCAATTAATCGATTAATCGTTAGCCTTAATACTGCAATATGCGTCTGCTGCAGTGCATATGGCCAACAGCATGACAGCGTCTGCAAATGCTGCTCAAACCGCTATGTTCCTCACCAAATTAATGAGAATGGTTTTAATCTAAATAAAGGGCTAGTAGGATTGTAAACTGTTTCGATGTGATTGATAATTAAATTACAGGGCTCGAATTTCGGCGCGGGATTGCGGGTATTGCGCATAATTCTAATAATTCCCACATGTCTCCCATTTATAATGCAGGAAATTCCCGCAATCGTAATCCACACAGATTATAAAATCAAATCATTCTTTTAACAACTATCTGCCAGGCGCAATTTCACAAACAGCGTGGGTGTTCAGCGGTGCCGCGTCTTCTATCTCTTCTCTCAAAATGTGTTGTGCAAGGCAAGCATCAAGCGCTGCGGCGACACACTCGCGTTTAGGAGTCGGGACATGACGGAATATTCACTTGCACAATCGGGCCAGCAGTGCATCGTGACTGAAGTTTACCATTTGCAGGTCTTTTTAAGTCTTACCAGTTTAAACATTCAAGCGATTTTAAACTAATCAGTGCTCGCACGCTCTCTGAGATGATTTTCTATGCGCACATTCATAGAGAATCCGCCTCAAAAACAGCTGGCCAGTAACAAAAGTTATTTTTCGCGGATTATATTGTTTTAACATGCAAAATTGTGTCAATTTCGGTCTTCGTGAGTATACTCTAAACATAGTCGGTTTTGTCTTTTAATAAGCATAAAACGCATGCCAGTATAATGAACACAGGATCCGTGCACTATAGCTCATTAATTTAGTTGTCAAAACAACAAAATATAGCTTTAAGTTAAAGGAATCAGGATTAATAGCCTATATTTAATTTATTCAGGACTAATATACTACCCAGTGTTATTTTCCATTTGATTACTTTATTCAGTTTCTGTAGGCCTATATGAAGTTAGACCCATTGAAAAACTTTTCTCTTTATTTGTCTTTATTTGTATCTTTATTCTATTGTATTTATTTGTGCTACTTTTTTCAATTTAATTAAACAATTTAAATCAAGCTTCCTTGTGTTGTGTAAACTCTTGACAACAATATTACCCCATTGTAAAAATGCAATGAGCGCAAACATTTCGGCAAGATAAATGTAATTTTTGTTTGGAAAAAAATCTAATCATCTAAGGGGGGGATTTCCCCCCCATTTTCCAAAACGAAATTCAGGCCCTGAATTAAAATAAATATTTAATAATCAAATATAACGACTAATACAACGTGTCACCAACGCCGCCTCAGATGCGCTTGTCAGAATGTGTGACTTGTGGACGCGTGCTCTTCCTGGAACAACGCACTTAAAACGGCAACTAAACCCAATGAATTCACACCGATTTAATAAAATAGTGTTCTCATGTTATGTAATATGACAGTCCCAAATTAATCCTCGTTATTAGTCGTGCATTCTGCTTGAGCGGCAGAATGATGAAGGTGTAAAATAGTCCCAAACATAACTCGCGCGCCCGCTTACATGTTTCGCGGTTGAGCAGCACGCACACGCATGAACCTGCTTAATCGATGATCGATAAGGTTTATCGATTAAACGTGTTATCGACAATTAATCGATCGTCGATTAATCGTTGACATCCCTAGTAACAAGGCATGATGGATCCATGTTTTCATTATGTTTACGCCAAATTCTGAGTCTACCATCTGAATGTCTCAACAGACATCGAGACTCATCAGACCAGGCAACATTTTTCCAGTCTTCCAGTCTACACGGCTCATTTTTCCTGCCACCTTCTGTTTTTTCGGCTATGTGGGAACCACCGGAACTTCCTGTAAAAGGTCTGAAAGTCCGAACCATACAGAAATGCTTTCACACTTGAAACGAACCAAACCTTTGTTCAGTTTGATCCGGACCGAGACTACCTCTTTTCGTCTGACTAAATTTCATCTGTTTGGTCCGGACCGTGGTCCGGGGGAGGTTTCACACCTGTAATTTTGATTCGGACCAAACTGAAAAGTCCGAATGTCCGAACCAAACAAGGTAGGTGTGAAAGGGCCCTAAGACAAAGATAAATATGGAGAAAATGGAGCAGTCTGATGCAGCCCACAAGGTTTATTTAAACATTGTACAATAGTAAACTGTGGAGGACAAAATAAACATTTAATCAACTTAAAACATTGTCCTATACAAGTCTGAGCAGGACAAAAATAAAAATAAAATTCAACAACATTTAAACTCTTAAAAGAATAAATTGGAGTAGTTTGATGCAACTCATTAGTAGTGATGGGTATTTCAAGCAAAAATAATATTCGAAGATCGCTGGGTATTATTCGATTATCATTCGAAAATGGCACCCCTCCCCCATATACTCGCACACATGCATGAATGGGCTACACACATGTGAGAAAAGCGGAGTGGTGTGTGTCACGTTTAAATATAACTTAACAACCAAACGTTTCATATTTATGTTTAAGTAATATAATGTTATTTTTTAATTTCATCTATGTTGATTAAATGAAAAGGGAACCGCATGAGATGAGTAAGATAGGATCATAAGATGCCCAATATATCGGGATACATTTGGAGTGGGTCATTTTGACCACTTACGTTTTGTTTTGTAGAAAGCCATTCTTTAAAGTGAATTTCGTTTTGTATAAATTGTATCTTAATTTAAATCAATGTTTCATCAACCAATTGCCTGTATTTAATAAATAAGAAGGAAATATAGCAGACAATATAATCAGGACACGGCACGTGAACTGGAGCACGTCTCAGAAATTAACCGAAACTTACCTGAAATGAAATCTACTTACCTCATAGACCTGAGAAATATATCTATAGAAAGCTTGAAATGTCTACGTTTAAAAAACAACAATTCAAATTGGAAAGAAACGGGCTACTCTCTACTTATGTAGGCTAATCCATATGATGTGTCTCTATAGGCGCGTTCACTACATGCGAAGATGGTGAGTTGGCATCGCCAACTTTATCTTTGCAGCCAGAATACAAATAGTTTATTAATAAACAATTAAAATGTATCATGCTGCGTGATCATTACTTTTGCCGTTCTTTTTGGCAAGCTTTATGCATGCGATTGAGATGCGGAATAGGCAATATATTACAATAACGCTCATTACGGTTTAGTATTCTCTCATATATATATTTAAGTAATTAAATTAATATAAATTTGCGATTTAGACTAATGGCTTAAACGAACTTCTTCTAGTTGACTAGAAGAAAACTTTAGTCGTGCTTGGGCAGCCCTACTTATTTCACATATTTTTGAACCAGACTGTCACTGCGGGCGTTCTGAGTGAGCGGCACTGAGTCTCCATAAAGACGCTCTCCGCTCTGGAGGAAATATTAGCAATCTGCTCACATGCTTTGGTGTGAGACAATGTGTATCTTCTTCTGTTGTCTGAGAGTTGATTGACATCTTTTAGATGCGTTATTGCCATCGCCACCCTCTGGTTACATGAACGCATCACCACCGCATCAGAACCAAAAACATGAGGATTTTTTTAAAGACAATTATCGCACAACGATTTGAGTACCCAAATGACCCTAGGAGCTATGTTGTCCGGGGCTATATGCCCCTGGTAGGGTCTCCCAAGGCAAACAGGTCCTAGGTGATGGGTCAGGCTAAGAGTGGTTCAAAAACCCTTTTATGATGGAGTTAAATTCGAGGACTGTGACGTTGCCCGGCATGGCGCAGCCGGGGCCCCACCCTGGAGCCAGGCCCGGGGTTGGGGCTCGTATGCGATCACCTGGTGGCCGGGCCTCCCCCCATGGGGTCCGGCCGGGCTCAGCCCAAAGGAGCGACATGGGGCCGCCTTCCCGTGGGCTCACCACCTGCAGGAGGGACCGTAAGGGGCCGGTGCTTAGTCGATCGGGCAGCAGTCGAAGGCGGGGGCCTCGACAACCTGATCCTTGGACACGGAAACTAGCTCTGGGGACGTGGAACGTCACCTCGCTGGCGGGGAAGGAGCCTGAGATAGTGCGTGAGGTTGAGAGGTATCGACTAGAGATAGTCGGGATCCCCTCCACGCACGGCTTGGGCTCTGGAACCACACTCCTTGAGAGAGGATGGACTCTCTACCACTCTGGAGTTGCCCATGGTGAGAGGCGGCGGGCTGTGGGTTTGATTATAGCCCCCCTGCTCAGCCGCCATGTGTTGGAGTTTACCCCGTTGAACGAGAGGGCTTCCCTGCGCCTTCGGGTCGGGGATAGGTCTCTCACTGTCGTGTGCACCTACGAGCCAAACGGCAGTGCAGAGTACCCGGCCTTCTTGGGGTCTCTGGGAGGGGTGTTGGAAAGTGCTCCGACTGGGGACTCTGTCGTTCTACTGGGGGACTTCAACACCCACGTGGGCAGCGACAGGAGACACCTGGAGGGGCGTGATTGGGAGGAACGGCGCCCCTGATCTGAACCCGAGCGGTGTTCTGTTATTGGACGTCTGTGCTAGTTACAGCTTGTCCATAACGAACACCATGTTCAAGCGTAAGGGTGTCCATCAGTACACGTGGCATCAGGACACCCTAGGCCAGAGGTCGATGATAGACTTTGTGGTCGTTTCATCCGACCTCTGGCCGTATGTCTTGGACACTCGGGTGAAGAGAGGGGCGGAGCTGTCAACTGATCACCACCTGGTGGTGAGTTGGATTCGATGGTGGGGGAGGAAGCTGGACAGACTCGGCAGACCCAAACGTACTGTGAGGGTTGCGATGGATTTTCACGATTAATACCGTTCCAAATTATAAAATATCCTATGCAGAATATTAATATAATCCCACGGTAACTAAAGAGCCTATCCTTTAGTCGTGTCCTCAAGAGTTAGGTGATCAGTCTATATAAATTCGTATTCTATTATAAAAATAATAGATTTCCCCTTTATATTATAAGTCTACTTTTTGTGGTACTCTTCAACCGTGTTTGCACTATACATATAGTTTGCACTATGTCATACATATATCCTATACATGTATACATGTTATATGCTGCCTCTTTGGCTAGGCTGTTTGATCAATCAAATATCACAGTGATTATTCTTATCTCAAAAGAATGCTCACCCACTTGTGTCGATCTCTTCAGAAAGGGTCCTTCTGGCCCAGTTAGAAGAATGTGACTCGCACTCAATGATCCAAGGTCCAGTCAGATGATTATAATAAAAATTATTAAAATAATCAAATGAAAAAGGAATACTTGTTACAGATCATAAATGAGTACTAACTAACAGATAGATACTAGCTAGGCTTGAAGCTTCTTGCCCCTGACAACTGCTGGTGTGTCAGGTTGGTGGTTGCAAGGAAGAGCGGAGAACTTCTCTTTTTCCTCCTCTTATAGTCTTTTCATGCAGCTGGCTTTTGTTCCCTCTAAGCACACTAAAAGCATCTACAATATGTAACATACTTGCATAAGCAAAAGACCGCTGTTGTGAAAAAGAACTATGTTTACAACATGCTTGCATAAGATCGCTGTTGTGGAAAGGGAGCTATGTTTCCAACAATAACCAGTGATTAAAAGATATGAGGTCCCTCGTGTATATGATTAATGGCTCATATAGCTGAGGAGGAAAGGCTCAAGACACAGTAATACATTTCAATGTTCATAGCTTCCATTAGCTCAGACAGCTCCCTTAAACAAGTTGCATTACGCGGCAGCACATGCCTTTTATTGTGCTCTTTTCGACCTCTGCGTTTGGATGAAGATAGAGGTTCTGCCGAAGATTCCGAGAAAGCAAGGCCAATGCCATTCTCAGATGGGCCTATTTCCACAGGGTCTGCTGGGAACGTTTGGCCGAGTCTCCTGTCAGAGAGATCTTCAACTACCACCTCCGCCAGCGCTCCGACCGGATCCCGAGGGAGGCTGGAGATATTGAGTCTGAGTGGACCATGTTCTCCGCCTCCATTGTCAACGCGGCCGCTCGGAGCTGTGGCCGTAAGGTCTCCGGTGCCTGTCGAGGTGGCAGTCCCCGAACCCGGTGGTGGACATCGGAAGTAAGGGATGCCGTCAAGCTGAAGGAGGAGTCCTATCGGGCCTGGCTGGCTTGTGGGACTCCTGAGGCAGCTGACGGGTACCGGCAGGCCAAGCGGACTGCAGCCCGGATGGTTGGGGAGGCAAAAAATCGGGCCTGGGAGTTCGGTGAGGACATGGAGAAAGACTACCAGCTGGCCTCGAAGAGATTCTGGCAAACCGTCCGACGCCTCAGGAGAGGGAAGCAGTGCCTTACCAATGCTGTTTACAGTGGAGGTGGGCAGCTGTTGACCTCAACTGGGGATGTCGTCGGACGATGGAAGGAATACTTCGAAGATCTCCTCAATCCCACCGACATGTCTTCCATTGAGGAAGCAAAGGCTGAGGACCTGGAGGTGGACTCGCCCATCCCCTAAGCTGAAGTCACCGAGATGGTCAAGGAACTCCTCGCTGGCAAGGCACCGGAGGTGGATGAGATCCGCTCGAATACCTCAAGTCTCTGGATGTTGTGGGGCTGTCTTGGTTGACACGCCTCTGCAGCATCACGTGGCGGTCGGGGACAGTACCTTTGGGATGGCAGACCGGGGTGGTGGTCCCTCTTTTTAAGAAGGGGGACCGGAGGGTGTGTTCCGACTACAGGGGGATCACACTTCTCAGCCTCCCCGGGAAAGTCTATGCTAGGGTACTGGAGAGGAGAATACGGCCGATAGTAGAACCGCGGATTCAGGAGGAACAGTGCGGTTTTCGTCCCAGCCGTGGAATACTGGACCAGCTCTATACCCTGTCCAGGGTGCTGGAGGGTTCATGGGAGTTTGCCCAACCAATCCACATGTGCTTTGTGGATTTGGAGAAGGCATTCGACTGTGTCCCTTGCGGCGTCTTGTGGAGGATGCTCCGGGAGTATGGGGTCCGGGGCCCTTTGTAAAGGGCTGTCCGGTCCCTGTACGACCGGAGCAGGAGCTTGGTTCGCATTGCCAGCAGTAAGTCAGACTTGTTTCCGGTGCATGTTGGACTCCGGCAGGGCTGCCCTTTGTCGCCGGTTCTGTTCATAATTTTTATGGAAAGAATTTCTAGGCAGAGCCTGGGGCCGGATGGTGTCAGGTTTGGGGACCACACGATTTCGTCTCTGCTCTTTGCGGATGTTGTTGTCGTGCTGGCCCCTTTAGAACAGGACCTTCAGCATGCACTGGGACGGTTTGCAGCCGAGTGTGAAGCGGCAGGGATGAGAATTAGCGCCTCCAAATCCAAGGCCATGGTTCTCAGTCGGAAAAGGGAGTTCCTGCCTCAAGTGGAGGAGTTAAAGTATCTTGGGGACTTGCTCACGAGTGAGGGAAGGATGGAACGGGAGATTGACAGACGTATCGGTGCAGCTTCTGCAGTAATGCGGTCGATGTACCGTTCTGTCGTGGTGCAGCGAAGCTCTCGATTTAACGGTCAATTTACCTTCCTACTCTCACCTATGGTCATGAGCTTTGGGTCATGACTGAAAGGACAAGATCCCGGATACAGGCGGCTGAAATTAGCTTTCTCCACAGGGTGGCTGGGCGATCACTTAGAGATAGGGTGAGAAGCTTGGTCACTCGGGAGGAGCTCAGAGTAGAGCCGCTGCTCCTCCACATCGAGAGGGGCCAGCTGAGGTGGCTCGGGCATCTGTTCCGGATGCCTCCCGGACGCCTTCCCGGGAAGGTGTTCCGGGCGCGTCCCACCGAGTGGAGACCCCGGGGAAGACCTAGGACACACTGGGGGGACTATGTCTCCCGGCTGGCCTGGGAACGCCTCGGTGTCCCCCCGGAAGAGCTGGAGGAAGTGTCTAGGGAGAGGGAAGTCTGGGCATCTCTGCTTAGAATGCTACCCCCGCGACCCGGCCCCGGACAAGCAGAAGATGGATGGATGGATTATCGCACACCCTACTCGTTATTCTATAATAAAATCACAACTTAACTGATAGAATTTTCAAAAATTGTGACTCACTCATTAGGTTTAATTAAACATTGTCCAATGTTAGAGAGGGGATAAAATAAATAGAAACATTTTAACTCCAACATGGAGAAGTCTAATGTAACTCATATGGTTAAATTAAACATTGTCCAATATCAGACAGAGGATAAAAGATTTTCATGCACTTTCGGAAGACAGTCTATTCCTCTTTTCATCCAAAACGTGTGCGGATGTACTGAATAGCCACTCACTATTAACACTCGTCGATAGGGCACTAAGGTAGACTCGTGCTGCCTTTTTTACAGTTGCCAGTTTTTTGTATTCGCCATACGTCTTGCAGTGCAGACTGATCTCATGAAATGGCGTATGTATGACACGCCAATTCGTATTTCCATTTTTGGCGTGCTATCAACACGCATAATCGCTTTTCAGCGTGTTTATCAACGCCTTTGACTTAACGTTATATTACTGTATTATGTATATATAAATATATGACCTACCCCAACCCCGTCCCTAAACCTACCCGTCACTGGGGTTAATACCATTTATGAGTCTTCTCCTACCATCCTAGGAAAAGAAATATCGCTCCACAGATGTAGATATAGATTTTGCTTCGTTTCGCTCGGACATTTAACGGCGTAGACATACACGCGGAATCACTCGGACATTTAATGGCGTAGACATACACGCAAAAGATTTCGGCGTGGACATACACGCGGATATTTCAAAATGCGTATAGATAACACGCCACTTGAATTGAAAGTGGCGTGTATGTTTACGCAAAGTCATGATGTCATGTTGTCAGTGTTGAGCATGTTACTTAAAAAAAGTAATTAGTTATAGTTACTAGTTACTTCTCACAAATAGTAACTGAGTTAGTAACTGAGTTACATAATTATAAAAGTAACTAATTACCAGAGAAAGTAACTATTGCGTTACTTAAAAAAAAAAAAAAAAATCAAATAGGCCTATGTCAAATAATTTGGATGCCCCCAGTATTAAATTAATGAAATGGACACTTAATAGTGTAGATTAGTGTTCAATGTTTTATAATAATAATTTATTCTATTTTAATGTTGCTGTGGGACAATGTGAGAGACGCCTATTAAATTCAATATATTATTCTAAATATTAGCATTACTATAGTAGAACAATAAAACATTATAGATGGTTTACTTAATATCGCACAGACCCCAACTGGCCAACAAATAAGTTTAAAAATAAATTATGCTTCTTAAGAAATGTACCAAAAATGAATAAATAATAATAAAAAATATACATAATCTTTGTGCATATTAAAATGATAAAACTGTTACACAACTTCACAACTAGTAGACATACTGTAGCCTGAGTATTTTCTTCCTAACAAAAGTAAACAGTTTAACAAGTGCTCTCTCAATATAATACTGAACAATTTACCAAAAAAAAAAAAATAATACTAAAATATAATATTTTGGGGGTTTATTTTTATAACCTATAGCGAACGTCATCATCAGAGGTTATTTAAGCCAAATTCTAGACATGTTTGCCGCACGTGTTTACAACCGGTCAAACAAAGATGTTTTCTGTGAATGTTCCCTGCAGGTTATTTTCGGGTTTATTTTATAACCTAAACAGAACGTTACCTGACGGTAATTTTTTAGATTTTATTTGTATAACCATGTAAATTAATTAACGTTGCAGATATGTGTCATTTATTTATAAACAAACTATATAATGCTCGGACATCCTCGGTCTCTCTTGCGCAACTGTTGAGCGCGCTCTCGGACACATTCGGTCTCTCTCGCGCATTGAGCGCGCTCGCGCCGTTCGCTTCGCTTTTGTCCACTCCGGCGCCTCATAAACACACACACACACACACACACACACACCAGAGAAAAAAACTTTGCAGGTCCTATGGCGGAGAGAGAGCCTACTCGGATAAAAGCCGCTTCAGTGAGTTCAATTATAGTAACGCCACATTTTTTTGTCAGTAACGGTAACTGCGTTGTAACGGGGGAAACAGTAATTCGTTTGATTACTCGTTACTGAAAAAGATAACGCCGTTAGTAACGCCGTTTATTTATAACGCCGTTATTCCCATCACTGCATGTTGTGCAGTGGCTCGTCCTTAAGTGCTGAATCAGGTCCGTCATATTAAATGTTTGTTACAATGCTCCTCCATGTGTTTTCATTGTTTCTCGAAACATCATAGTAATTCCAGACTGGCGATGACATGACTGCGGCGCCAAATCATTTAAGTTCCCAAGCATCATGTACGTCCTCGCGTGTTGACGTCATCAAATTGTGATCGGTTTCTGAGATCGGCCAAGTTTAGTGAGTACTGATCGAGTCATAAAATGTGATTATCCAATACCAATCTCCGGTCGATTGATTGGAGCATCCCTAATATATACAGTGATTAACTTTTTTGATCCACTTAAAAAAATGTGACTAAAGTTGTCCTTAGACAAGAAAAAGGGTATTGTTCAAAGTTAATGTATAACTTTGATGAAAGATTTTGATCCACTTCAAATGTTGACTACTGTTTATAAAAAAAAGTACATATCTACATGTGATATATGACTATAAAATAAAGTGCTACCGAAATGAGGAAGGAAGAGTTAGCCATGACTGGATGCCAAAAACAGGTTATTTGTTTATAACTTTAAAACAAACAATGAGGCTTAAATCCTGACTGATATTGTTAGCAAATACCTTTTCTCTGCAAAACTGAACACAGTCAAGAGGCCAATATTTTTTTTTTTCTATTTTAGACATAATTGTCTGTTTGAGGCCTTTCTATAATTAAACAGTTCTTGGGTTTTTGTTAAGGGCTTTGATAACTGCCTGTTTGAAAGTATTTGGGACGTGTCCTGAACAAATTAAAGGGTAAGGAAAATTGGCAAGAGGTTCTGAGATTACAGGTAACAACTCTTTCAGTTGCATTCAGCATGTTTTGATGTCTGTTGCTTTGTGTCATTAAACTGGTGTTAACTTGTATTTGTCACTTTTCTCCTTAGACCTGATGCCACTGAAAGAGGATCGTGAAGTACTGAATGAAATGGAGAGAGATCAGTTTGAGAAACATGATTCCACAACTGGAGAAAAACGGTTTAGTTGTTCACAGACTGAGAAATATTCCTCACAAAGAAGGGCTCAACAAACAGAAACTAAGAAATATTCCACACAAAAAAGAGCTCAACAAACAGAAACTATAAGTTATTTCACCTGCCAACAGTGTGGGAAGAGTTTCACTACGAAAGGAATCCTTAAAGGCCACATGATGGTTCACACCAAAGAGAAGGCTTTCACCTGCCCTCAGTGTGGAAACAGTTTCACACAAAAAGGAAGCTTTAACAGGCACATGAGAATTCACACTGGCGAGAAGCCTTACATCTGCAAACTGTGTGGAAAGAGTTTCATACAAACAGGAAACTTTAACAGGCACATAAGCATTCACACTGGAGAGAAGCCTTACATCTGCAAACTGTGTGGAAAGAGTTTCACAACAGAACTAAACCTAAGGTATCACGTGAACAGTCACACTGGAGAGAAGCCGTTCACATGTGATCAGTGTGGAAAGAGTTTCAGACACAAAGTAACCCTTAAAAAGCACCTGAGGACGCACTCAAGAGAAGACTGTTGTATATGTCATCAGTGTGGAATGAGTTTCACAGATATAAATCATCTTACGGCGCACATAATAACTCACACCGGAGAGAAGCCTTTCATGTGCTATCACTGTGGAAAGACTTTCTCAAACAAAACAAACCTTGAGGTTCATATGAGAGTTCACACTGGAGAGAAGCCTTTCACCTGCCCTCAGTGTGGAAAGAGCTTCAGATTTAAAGGAAACCTTCAGACACATATAAGAGTTCACACTGGAGAGAAGCCTTACACATGTATTCACTGTGAAATGTGTTTCACATATCAAAGGGACCTGAAGCGTCATTTGCAAACTCATTCTGGAATCGAGGGTTTCTCAATCTGGCAAGAAGTTTAGAAAAATAAGCAATTTCAAAGTCATTTGTGCATTCACTCTGGAAGAAGGAAATTTAACTCCCCCGCCATTGACGAAAAATGTCCAGCTTTCCGTGTTTTCACTGTTATACTGTAGGGGGCGCTATAACATCTTCTGAACAAGTACTGCATCTCTGGATCAAAACACAGGTGAAGAAGAAGCAGAAACGAGCAATATCATATGTAAGCCAGTGCTTATGTAAAATAACACGATCAACAGCATATAAATCAAGTCCGCCTAATGTTACTGAATGAAATGTCGACCCAGGACGAGCTATTGGACTGTGAAGCTTTAGGGGTGTTGATGCGCTCGGTCTACTCCTTTTGTTTTGTTCATCGTTTTGAAACCGATCTGGCTGTAGTCTTTGACAAAAACGTGATTTTTGTCAAAACGAGACTTACCCACATTCAAGTGCTGATAAAAAAGGAATGCATAGAACAAAACATTTTTTTGTTTAAAAGCACATGCTCTGATCTTTCTTTTGATATATTGCATGTTTAGATATTCTGGGGGCCATAAAACTTTTGTGAAAATAATTAAAAATGCTGGCGGTGGCTGGCAAGTTTTTTTTCTTAAACTTGGATCAGTGTAATTAAAAATTTAATTTGCCATCACACTTACAGCTAAGTGAAAAAACATGCAGATGTGAGGCTATTTTTGTAAGTGTGGAGTTTAAAATGGCACAAGACAGTTTGTATGCAAGTCAAATAAAGGTTATGTTCACACCTGAGCTTAATGTGGGTCAAATCTGATTTTCTGCTAAAAAATAATCAAACGAAAAAGCCTTGGCATAAATGGTCTTCTCAATGCATAGCAGAAAAATCCTGAGTCCAAACATTAGCTCTCTTTGGGTGGTGTTTCCGTTTATTATAAAGGTAAAAAGAATAATTTACATAAAATGGTACTTCACCCAGTGCTAAGTAATAAAGTGCTGTCATGCTGTTGGTAAATTGGGTGCTCGCAGCTACGGTAAGAACTGTGTGTTCCTTGCCATCCACACCTTTTCCTAACTGATTGCCACAGCTGTAAATATACCTAGCTCCCGGTGACGTGTCACACCCAGTGCAACACTCACACCAAGTGGCTAGAATAAGTAATAGCTATATTAACCTATCGAAACAGTTGATGCTCCTACACTCCACCATGTCATTTATTTGCATCTGTCAAGTTGCCTTGAGGCTTTTATTTGCTTTTGTCATGTATGTGAACGCCCATGGCCATACCTGACCATCTCTGCTAAAGTTTCAAATATTGAGCGGTTGTGGGAGACACCCTCTAATTTCTAAGGTTGTTAAGAAGCATACTATTATATTTCATTCAGTGTAACACCTCAAAATCACAATGTTAGATATGTCTTGCTGTGAAATAACATTATGTAAAAAAAAAATGTCAGGAGTCCAGTCTGGCTAAATGAAGAAGCATGGTGTGGTTATTATTCCAGTCTGCATTCCTGAAACTGAGGCCATTTCCACACTAATACGTTTTCGTTTGAAAACGTATATTTTTCTCTCCGGTTTGGCCTTCCGTCCACACTGAGACAGCGTTTTCAGGCAATGAAAACGTAGCTTTTCGAATACGCTCTGGTAGCCGCTCCTTAAGGAGGGGGTAATGTCACATGCCTGTCCTGTCTTGTGTAGCACTTCTGGAGTTTTGTGTTCCTGTCTCTGTCTTGATCCCACCTTCCTTGTCCATCTCATTATTGGTTTAATTTGCCCCACCTGTTGATCCCTCATTAGCTGCCTGATTTGTCCCTTTTATAAGTTCCTTGGTGTTTGCAGTCTGTGTCGGATCGTTGTTTTGTATTTGTCTCCTGTTTTCCCGTGACCCTCCGGTATGTTTGTTTTGGAAGTTGTTGTTTTGTTTTATATTATGTTTTTCCCCCTTGTGGGTTCTTGTTGTACTTTGTTTCTTTTATTAAAGCTACACTGTGTGATATTTAGCACCATCTATTGGTGAAAAGGTATATGACCATTCAGTGAATATTAGTTTCTGTTCCTCTCAATTCCGATTTCGTTTTAACTCCTACGGTGGCCAATGTAGTCCAAGATTAACATGGCTTCCAGTTCGACCTCGTCCATGAGCTTGAATTAACGGGTATGTCCCTTTTTGGCTAATGTACTTTCAAGATGGAGGGGCAACATGGCGACCGACATAGGAACCCCTCACCCATATTTATTTTTAATTGCATATTATACACTCACGAGATTACTTTATTACTTGAACGAAGTATATATACATTAAAGAGCACATATATTTTTGAAAGAACTAAGTGTTTTTAGCAAAGAATAAACTAAAAGAAAGTTACACAGTGTAGCTTTAAATAAATCACTATTCTTTTGCAATTGAGTCCTCACCTAGTTTTCTTTAGTTGTCACGTAACAAGATGGAGATGGCCCTGAGCCTGAATGCTGGAAGGCCAATGTCTGAGGGGATTCCTGGAGGGACTTCATCAGAGCCAGTCACTCCCCAGGATTCAAGGGCCTTCATAAAATTTAAGAGGTCTACATGTTATTTTTTATATAGGCAATTTTTTATAATTCCATTTATTTTACTTTGGGTTGGGTTTTTTGTTGGTCCCAACAGATTATGATGGTAACATCTGTCTTTTGGAGCCTCCTGTCCCAACAGAACCCCAGGCAGTTGTAAGTACTCAATACACCAAAAATTATGACAAATATAAAGTTTAAGACGATGGGGATGAAGAAACCGTTTTTCTGTAAATGCCACAGTTTAATTGTGTAGAAATTGTTTAGAATTACATGATGTAACTCTAATCTACAGTATTTTCAGTTGCCAGTTAAGGAGTTTAGACGTCATCTTATTAAAAAAATAGAAAGAAAAATACAGCAGTAAAAACAGCAATGAATAAATGTACCGAAAGAATGAATGAGGTGTTTAAACACCGCTTCGTCTTTAAAAAAGGGAAGGAGACCGAAATAAACTCTAGGTTTACTGAAGAAAACCTGCTCCCAACCAGGTTAGGTTCACAGAGTTAGTTAGCATGGTAATGACTCTGAGTGTAAGTTACTAGTGATGTTAGGTCTGACACCGACACTCCGAAGCTTGCTTCAAACTCGAACGGTCCTTGCAATGAACCACTGCTTCGGAGCTTGTATCATTACGTCACTAGCCACGTGAAAATGACGTCTGAAGCAAACACACTGGTTCACTCCTGTAGTGAACCACCTGACTGCTTTGACCGCCCAATCCAGTGTTGACAGGTTTGAAACCTGGCGGCTGTATTTCTTATAAAAGTGAAGCCAAACCATGGCAACACCGTGGGTTGTAGTAGTCCGTGTTTGGATTGGCGTTATTGTTGAGGAGAGTGGATTTTATTATTTTATTATTAATAGAACATAAAAACATGCATCAAAGACAGAAACTTAAAAAACCCTCTGCTACATTATACAAGTACAACCAGTTACACAAGCACATCCTTTTCAACATACAAAAATATCAGTCAAACAAGATAAAGCTTCCACACATGATACTGCCCTGCTAAAAAACTATAGAAACCATTACAGAAATGATATTGGATGTAATGGTTTTCATGGGAATTTTATTGGTTGTAATGGGAATTATGTCTCTGTGGGTCTCTACTGATATGTGTTGGGTTCTATTGGTAGGGGCATTAAATTCTAATGGAATATGTCCCAAACACACTACAAAAAAATAATTCTGTAGTGGTTTAAATGGTAAAAGCCAATGGTTCCTATTGGTATTTTAATAGAAACCATTAGAATTTCTGTGATGGTTTCCAACTTTTTTTAAGCTGATCTTCTGTCCTTGTCTAAAGAAATAATTACACACACACATCATGCTTAATGTTTTATTATCAAGGTGAACACATGAAATTCATCAGTATCTGTAAAATTCACCTACATAAATGAGTTTCACAGCACTAACACTGTTTCAGCTTTGATCGCCTCGGTAAACACGTAATAAAGGGGGCGTTAACATATAAGCCTACTTGCATTTTATGGTTGTCAGCTTTGTTGCATTACATTTACTTCACCAGTAGATGGTGCTACAATTTCTATCTGAATGAAGCTTCGAGTAATGAACCATTTTCGACACAATTGTATCAGAAAGCAATAATGCTTCGAAACGCTTCATTTGGCCATCACTATAAGTTACCTCTCTTTCAGAAACGAGCTTGACTTACTCTGCTTTCTCAGGTTTGACTTACCTCCCATTCTGAAACGGAAAACCCAGAGTTTCTCTCATTTCAGGGTTAATCTACTCAGAGTTTTCACTTAACCTCTTTCTGAAATGGGCCCCTGGACAGTGTCACGTTTAGTGTCTGTTTCGTTTGCCTGTGTCACCCAGTTTGTACCTATGTTTCTTTGATTTAATCCCTATCACCTGTTGTCTTGTTAATCAAGTCATTATGAGTTCATTTGTCCCAGCTGTGTCTCGGTTTCCTTGTCTGTTCTGTGTATTTAAGCCCTGTGTTTCAGTTGGTTCCTTTTCTGTCGTTGTCGCTACATGCCTGGTTGTTCCGTTCGTGTTCTCTTTGTATCCTGTCAGTTATTATCTTGTTTGTTTAATAAATACTGCTGCAATTGCGATCCTGCTTCAACCAGCCCGTGACAGAACGACAGACCAAAATATGGATCTTGCAGCAGTTCAGATTCTCCTACTCTCCCAGGAGGATCAATCCCTCGAGGCCCACATACAGAGGTATTTGGACTTGGTACCATTTGTTCATTATGATGACACCAGCCTCTATGGGTTCATCCGGACAGGCGTGCTTTGGTCTCTGCATTAAGATGGGCCTCGTGGGAACTTCCAGGATTATGTGGAGTGGGTGCTTTGGCATAATGGGTCTTCATTCACCGGTGGGCTCTGCGACAGCCATGAAGAGGAGGCCACCCTGCCAGAGTCTCGTCCCGCCGAGACTGCCCTGCAAGAGAATCTTCGTATCATGCCAGCCATCAGGCCCAGTACCGTATCGGTCTATGGGCGATCAAGATTAATGTTCAGCGTGATGGACCTACCGCTCTTGTCAGCGTGGATGGCCATGAAGATCGCCCAGCCAGAGTCTCTTTCTTCCGAGACAGCCCAGCCAGGGTCTCGCCCCGCCGAGACCGCCCAGCCAGGGTCTCGCCCCGCCGAGACCATTGTTCCTGTGTCTCGTCCCGCCGATACC